TTCGTAAGTGCAGGCATGGCCTAAGCAATAATTTTTAGGTTGATAATAGTTTTAAAATCATAATAAAATGTTTTCGGTGAGGCTTGGGTATGTCTGTGTTTTTGGCTAAAAAATTAACTTCAGTGTAATAAATGTGTAAGCATTTCTTCACTTTCGGAATGTTATATCACTACCCTGTTCTTTATGTATTCACAAAGACAGTTGTAAACATTCTTTCATTTATTCACTCATGCAAACAACAAATACTCATCCATTGTGTGCCATGTTGGTATGCGTAAGGTGTTATACTATTTAGGAGAACATGGGACATAAACTGTTGTTGCTGCTTTCCAGGAACTTAGCCTTGGAGAACTTTTAAATCCATGCTATTATTTCACAAGGCTCACAAGAAGGAAACCAGGAGTTGGACAAGGAGAGCTGGCTGCATGTCCAAAGGTATCTCTGTGGGGTGTGTATCAATCTTGTCAAGCCTGAAGAGAAAAACTACCCTACATAGTTCAGAGAGGGATTTAATGGATGAAAATTGTTGTGATGCTTTTAGAAGGGTTGAGGGAGCAAAAGGCATAAAGTGGTGGTACTCAAAGCTGAGGAAGCTGTGGCTGCCTTTTCTTTTGCTGAGCTGTTGGGGCATCAGGGAAGTCATTGGAGCCTGTAGTCACCTGCTGTTGATGCAGCTCATCTGCAGCTGGAAGCAGAGTGGCTTCTGCCTTCCTATTGCCTTCTGATCTCTCACTGCCTTGGCTTGACCATTTGACTAAGAAATTTAGATAGGTAGTTTGCACCTCTTGACCTGCAATACAGAGAAGAGTATGGTGGGGGTGGGAGTGGTAAAATCCAACAGTGAGATGACCAGGAGAGAGGGATAGGGTCTGGGAGTAGCCATTGACACCCAGAGTTTTCTCTCAGTAGTTTAGACACACAAATATGATTATTAGTACAGTGAGCTGTGATCACACTTTGAAATCTGACCAGAAGTAACTTTATGGACTGGAACAGATCCCCTGAAAGTCCATATGTTGAAACCCTAACCCACAATATGACTAAATATGGCAGTTGGGACTTCAATAAGGTAATTAAGGTTAAATAAAGTCTCAAGAGTGGGGTTCTCCTTCAGTAGGACTGGTGTCCTTACAAGAAGTGGAAGATACACCAGAGTCATGTATGCAAAGGAAAAGGCCATGTGAGGACACAGAGAGAAGGCAGCCAAGTACAAACTAAGGAGAGATGCCTCATCAGAAACCCTTCAGGCACCTTGATCTTCAATACCCAGCCTCCAGAACTGTGAGAAAATAAATTTCTATGGTTTAAGCCACTTAGTCTGTGGTATTGTATTATGACAGTACAAGCTGACTATTATACTAAGCAAATACCTAATGAATATAAAGAGTCAGATGCCAAATTGCAAATTTGTACTAAAAATGTAAATTTCCAAAAGATTTCCTACTTATATTTGCTGGTCAGCACATTCTTCTATGAGTAAACCTACATAGGAATCAAATAAATGAGAAGATTGCTTAATGACAGTGTTCTCTTAACAAGAGGGTTTGCTGGATGATAAAAATGGCCAGTGTAATACCAAAGTGTCATTGGGATGTGACCTACTCATTTCCACTCTAGACCTGCAGTCCTTGCTGGGTATATGTACATGTGGACATGCTTTTTCCCTGACAGCACTGAAGGTGGAATGCATCAACCTTTCTGACTTTCCCTTTGTGGATCCTTCCCCTTTTCATATCGATATATCCTGGTTCCCACTTTTTTTTTGATCAGGTGGGGGCTGTTGCTTTGATCCTTTTGTGTAACTTTAATCTTTTCCATGATTGTTTTATGATTTAATACACAAATTCTCGGAATGTACCTTTAGCCAGGGCACACTGCTACATTTATTCTGCCTGTTGTCACGGACCCTGTCCTTCTGATTGGTCAATACCTGTGTTGAATCACTTGCTAAATGTTTTGAATGTCAATCTCTGCCTCTATAACTCCACCATAGAGTATAAAAAAGAAATTGACCAGATTAAGCTGTGCAATCAGCCTTTCACATGGCAGAGCAGGCTATTTGAGAACAGCCAAAAGGATTCCTATTCCCAAAATGACAGCCTCATTAGCCTATTGTGGAGCATAAAATCCAGCCACCAGAGTTGCTTCTTAGAGACTTTCATCATATTTACCAGAAGGGGTAACCAACATATGTAATGTTTGAAGCTTGCCTACTATGTGTCAGGCATTGCTTTTTAAATGGACCATCTCATTAATTACCATAACAATCTTACTATGAAGATGGTCTTATTGCTGTCATTTACAGCTGAATCAACTGAAGCTTACTTGGAAATCTCAGTGCCCAAGTAGTCTCTCTAGTAAGCTTCAAATAATTTGTTTAAAGTTATCAGCTACTGAGGAGTAAAGTAGAAAAATCAAACCCTAAGATTAAACTTTGTGTTTAGAACAAACAAGTCTCTTTGACCTACAAGACCCTGTATGCATAGTTGTTGCTTACATCTTGGAACTTTTTCACACATTCTCTCCCTAACTTGTTCTGTTCCGAAGGAACTGGTCCCCTGTTTGGGGACACACAAAACTTTCCCAGCTCCTTCCCAGCAGAAAGACTGGGGTCTTTACCTGACATGCTCTTTACCCATATTTTATCTACATGGCTGGCTCCCACCACTACCACCCTATTTAAAATGTGGAAGGGAATACCTGTCCACATACTTGACACTATTACACCATCAACTGGGGATTATTTCCTCCAGAGCAAGTACCTATCACCATTTGGAGTTGTTTGTTTGTTTGCTTATATATTCTCTATATCCTCCCATTACAGTGTCAGTTTCATGAAGACTTTCTTATAAAAGGCATTGTCATCAGTATCTAAGTACTGAATCCTCCATAGTAGTCATGGAGTAAACACGTGCTATATGTCCAAAGATTATCTGTTGTGATTTATCAAACCCCGAGGCTCTTTGGAATAAGACTTAGGAGGCATGCTTTTTATGGAGGGGGAAATCTCAGTGCCCAAGTAGTCTCTCTAGTTGTATTATGGAGAGTGTTCCTAGCTACCAGTACATACAGTCACTGAAATAAGGAGAGGGCTGCAAAATGGGAGGGAACAGTTGAAAGTGGGAAAGATAAACTCCCAAACAAATTTCAGGTGATTAGTAGTTTTGTCTATAGTAATAGTACAGAGTTATTTTAATTCTGAAAAATGCTTCTGAGAGTTTTTTAATGATTACACTACACTAAAAAGCAAATAAGAACTTACTATATTTAAAGAACTATTCTAGGTGATGATGGTGAATAATAAGTTAAGTCCCCAATGACCTATATGAAACTTGGGAGAGAAAGATGCCAAATGGAGTGACTAGGAAGGCATTGTGAAGAAGATGGGACCTGAGCCAGGCACTGGAGCAAGGGGAGGAATAGAGCAGATGGAAGTGAGAGGTATGATCAAAAGCGTGGTCTCAGGAATGTGCCTAGTGTGTTTGGGATTGTAAAAGACTAGTTGAACATGATGTTGAAAAATGTGGATTTTATCCTGAATTCAGAATAGACTCCTAGGGGTTTCTGAGTGGACTAGTGATGAATTAAAATTAGTGTTTCTGAAAAATGAGAGATGTAGTGACTCAGATGGAGGAGGGAGCCTATGGCTGGAAAAGGGGTCCATCAGTTTCCTACAATTGACCATAATTTGCACAGACTCTGTCTGGGCCACAGCTGTCTCAACTCTCTCCCTGGTGGAGGAAACCAAGAGAAAGTGGCCACATGCTGTGTGTGGGCTGTAAAGTAGAACCTGTAGCATTCCTCTTCAGAGATGGAGCAATTGAGAGAGTTGTGAAAAATATATCTTTACAATTTTATTAAAAACTGATTGGTATGGCATTTTATTAAGTCCAGCTCTTCTAGATCAGCAATACATTGGTTATGTGTATTTTGGGGAGTGTGAGTGTTTCTGTATCTCAAAGGACCTCTGAATCATCAAAGACATTAAGTTATGTCCACTAGGATTTAAGGTTAACTGGTCTGTAATGTTATCTATGTGTAATATAACACATAGTTTATAATTCATTATCTTTAAACTATTTTTATATACATCATTTTGTTTCTGTTGATTGCAGCTGGGAAACAAATTTTAGAGAGGCTCAATGACTTATTCAAGGTCACTTAGCTAATGAGTAGGAAAATGTGGGCTTGAACCTATTTCTTTTACTTTGAGCCTTTTACATCTTGGTGAAAACTGGGAGCTAGTGCTTAATACATATGCTATATCCTTACTAACCAGAATACTTAATAATTTTAGAACAAGTAATCTCAGTGGAGTATAGGGGTTAATTATATCTCATATGGTAGAATGCAATGGGTGTTCAAATACTCATTGATAATAATGATGTCTGTCTTCCACCATTCTTTCTGAATTAACCTGTCCCAAAGGAAATGTATCTAATAATGTTCCTCCAATATGTTTAAATTAAATATCTTTAATTAAATATTGACAATATTGTTCATGCCTCCGTTTTCCCTCATTGGGTTTTGGGCTCAACAATTCTTGGTTACAGAGCATGATTTTGTCAGTTTGCTCTCATGGATTTGCAGACAGCATCTATGTGCACAATAACAGAATGATTCTGGCTGATAGAGGATGGGTGTGGAGCAAGTGTGGCATGAAATGGACTGTTTGCTTTTTTCCGCAGTCTGCTGATTCAACCTGCAAACTAATTTCCCAATACCATGAGCAAAACCTATAAAAACACAGGGGCCTCAAAAAGATGACTCTGACATTTGCAACCTGGAGAGGTTTTTGGAGTTGAGAGAGACCAGTTCCATACTTATTATTTAGGTCTGGGTATTTTTGGCTTCAACACTTGTTTCTGGTTATAAAGTTAAAAACAAGGGTCTAAACACTGTTCACTTGGATAGTGAAAACCATGTTCACTTTTTGCAGTGACCCTGAAAACAGAAGGGGAATTCTTATAAATCACAAAGGAAAATAAATAACTTCACCCATGGAGGGAAAGAGACAGCTTGAGAAAAGGGACTTTGGAAAAAGGCTCTCTCTAGACAGCAGTCTTGTGGTAAGTACTAAATATTCATTTACCACTCTATATGTTTTGGCTTAAAATGCATTATTCTTTGACTGTTATTTCCTGAACTCTGTGCTTTTGAAACCTCTATTCCAGTTACCCCATTAGCAATATCCCCTGGGATTTTGTTTCATTTATTTTTTACAGAATCAAAAGCCAGTAAATTATTGGAATGTTTGTATAGTGTCTTAATAGGCAAATGTCATAATCTGTCAACATTAAATATAATTACATTAATTCCAGCCGAAGTAGACTTTAACCTATACAAAAACACTACTGTACAGCTGATGCCAGATGCCAAGCCTATATATAGTTGTTCCATCACCCATTTATCTTAACTTTTGGGATAAGTTGAACAAGAATTCAACAGAGCTTCAATTATTTAAGAGCAAAGAAACTCTGAGATCTTCCTAGGTATGTATACTAGTTTAATTGTCCATAAGCTTTCTTCTAAATGTTTTAATGCTAATGAGCATCATTCTTAACCACTTGGTTGGTTTTGCTTTTGTGTATGAGAATCTGGTTAGTCCAAGGAAATAGACTAAATCACTGATTTCTGAAGGTTGGTCACTCTTTCATAGTCTCTGAGCTAAGAGGTTCAGGCCACCTCTTCTATTCTATAATGCCTATGAACAAAGCAACAAATCAAATCTAGCAAGTCACTCCTTTCCCTTTTGCTCATGCACTGAAATATAAATTAACTTGATTCCTTTGTTTGCATGTTGTATAGGGATTTGCTTTTTCACCTGTGTACTCTCAGCACCTGGCCCAGACTATGGATCAGAGTAAGGTGTCCAGTAATATATTTGTTGAATTGGTTTATCAATTGCGGTTTTCCAATTCTGCTGCTGTAGATCCTACTCGGACAATGTACAGATTAGCTGTTTACCCCATAAATGCTGAAGTTTCATATCACAAACTATTCACAGGTGCGAGTTTCTGGGGACTGAGAAAAGGATTGCATTAAACTTTTTGGTCAAGTTCTTCTCTTATTAGAAACAACTTGAGTGTCTCTGTAGGCTATGCACTGAGCAGCATTTCTACAGAGAATACTTTAATAGTATTTTAAGTTCCCAATGGTTATGTTCTCTTCTCATCTCTTATGTCTTTCCATCTCCAGGTAGAATGTGCTAAAAATGTATGTGTGTGTGTCTATTCCTTTTGCAACTTCTGAGGAGTCAGGATAAAAAGATGATTTCTCAGCCTTTCTTTTGACAAAGAAAATGCTTCTTACATATCAGCCTGCCATTGGGGTCTGTCTTATGCCCAGGCAGGGAACAGAGATGCCCATATAGCATGATATGAGCAACCCAGGAAAGGTTCTCTTAACCCCCAAATACCAGCCCCTAAAGCCAAAATTCTGCCTTCAGTCCCAAAGAATATACAAAGACCATATCAAAGCAAGCATGCTAACCTATTGTCTTTCAATAATTCATAGTAGCACTCATTAATAAAAGATCCTGGATCACTCCCAATGTCATCCAGATGAGCAGAGTTTTGTTGAGGAAATTGGTAAACAAAAGGACAAAGTACAGAGTGGTGGAATGCAGGGCTGGGTTGGGACTGGTAGGGAAGTGGGATGAGTATGAAGGCACTGGGCACCTGAAAATCAGAGAAAGAGGAAACAGTCTAAATGAAATCCTAGCCCACATTTATATTTTGCTTAGTGATACATTTGACTGTAAGCATAAATCAAAGCCTGTCATATTACTAGTGCTAGCTGGGAGCCCTAAACTAAGTTTGCATTCCCATTGGCATATGGCACTACCCTGAGTCATGTGGGGGCTATAACAATGTGTCTTGATTACAGCATAAAAGAACACTGTGAAACTGAGAACTTGTTGCTTGGCACCACATAAGAAACATAATCCTGTTAAATCTCCCTAAATGATGCTCAGGAGAGTCAATACACTGAAGAAATATCTTTCTTGTTTCCTAGAGGCAAATTAAGTGTTACATCTGCATGTGCATATGAGAGAAATCCTGAAAAAGTCTGTGCTCACCTATGACTATGTGGCCCAGTGTAAGTGGTGCTTATATGTTATTCAGCATCATACCATTAGGCCAGGAGATTATAATTTTTTCCTCTACTTTAGTATTATGTTCTTTCCTCATATAAGATACTGCTGTGACAATGACAGCAAGAGTACTCTTTTTGAGTTGGTTCTTTGAGCAAGAGACCCATTGAAAGTCCCTTGAATGAGGTTTGTTGTGACTATCAGGAAGAAATGAAGGAGGGGGATGAGATCAAAACTGACTGGTCTGTAAAGGATTTGAACCTAAGATGTGGCCCTCCTTTTGGCTCCATGCTGAAATTATACAAATAAATAAGCAAGGAGGACATGGGTAATTCCTCCTTGCTAGATAAGGGTTGCTGGGAAATACAATAAAAGAGATAAGAAACACCTGGTATCATATAACTCATTCTTTATTCCCAAGGCATGTTTATTTTATTTTACTTTGTTCTAGTATAGGTTACTTTTTAAAAATCATAGACTACTAAATTGGGAATGGTTTATCCCGTCCCCTCACTTTGCAGAAGTAGTTAATATTCAGTGAAGTTAGATGCTTTAACTGAGGTTGTATAACAAGGATACAACCAAGAGTAGAACCGAGGTTTCCTACCTGTCACTTTAGTTCTTTGTCTCTCGTTATATGTATAATACCCCTGTAAGAGTAGATGTCCTTTTGGAAAACAGACTAGAGGAAAAAGAAACATTAAAATCTTGTCTTGAAATGCCACTGCTGTAATCATTATGACCCATATTTTTGAGAGTGAGAAGACCCAGAGGTAATTTCCACTTTCAGACTTTACAGGAAATAATTCCTCATAATGGACTGCAAGAATAAGGTACTATTAACTTCATTACACTCCTTATTTTACATAATCAAATCATGAAGTGTCGAGTAGAAATTATAGCTTTCTTGCAACAGCTTTTAAATTTTTAGGCTGGAGGAACCACGGAATAAAGAAACTCATGTTCAGATATTTAAAAAACTTGCAATTGGGGGATGTGAGTTTCTAGTTCTACTCACCATTTTGCTTTCGGGACATGACACAGGGGAGAGTTTGAGTGAGCGAGTCTGAGTGTGTAAATGTATACATGTGTACACTGGTAATGCTGAAGTATTCTTTGATGTTGATGATTTTTTTCCTTGATAAATCACCCTTTTTAAGAAGAAAGTGACAGGTAAGTGAAACTGAAATGAAAAATATGTTTCAATGTGGGAGGTAAAGACCCTGAGAGAAAGACAAGCGACTGCAAGTGTGCCTCTGCCATTAGGAGTGTGCCGGGTAGCTGCATATTGATGGCAAGTGCAGTCTTCTCTCTGGTAACAATGAAAATCACCCCAGAAACTGAGGCCTCTTCTTGACCCAAAGCTGTTTAGCTCACCCCGGGATGCTGTTTGATCAGTGAAAGTGAGCATTACACACTGTGCTTTTTTTTATTTGCAAGAATCATTCCCAGGCTTTATGTTCAGCTATTTGACATGTGTAGCTATGATAGCATTTAACTGATGAGAAGGCTGGGGAGTGAGTTATCTTTTTTACCAGCTTACATTACAATTGCAAACATTTTATTTTAATTTTGGGGAAAATTACTTTTTGCTTTTAAGCACACATGTGAGTAGCAGTTTCTCTTATGAATGATGTATTCCTTTGTGGTATTACCTTTCCTTTGTCCCCACCAAAAGAAAGACAAACATTGGCCATGCTAGAACCTCTGCTATGATAACAGTGCAGTTTTGATGGACTTGTAGGAGCAGGAAAGGTCCCACAAAGGTCCTTCAGTTCATCCTTTACCCTCTTGGTGGTTTACATCCAAATCATTAGGGTAATTAGGCCTTCCATAGTCATGAATTAATTAAGCCAATCAACAAGCACTTTTGAAAATCTGCTTTATATTTAAGATGTTTTAGTAGCTGTGGGATGTGTTGGACAGTTGCCATTTTCTCCTCCAGAACCACGCCATCCTTCTGTACATGACTGCAATCCTGGAGGATGTAGCACATGGATCTTGTCAAAAGTATCTCTGGTTTCCTGGCCTCTGGTTGGATTTGGCCAAGGGGAGGACCTAGCAGGATATCAGAAGTTGGGAGGTGAAAGAAATCAAGGTCATTGTTTCCATGCTCTCTTCCTGCCTGGTCATGGATCACAGTGACTGGGCTCCTCTGCCTATGGCCACAGCCTTTGCTGGGCAACCTCTCACACAACCCTAGCTACGGTGAGAACCACAGCTCTCTCCCCGTGCCCCTTCCAGGCTTCTTGGTACTAATGACTCTTGGGTGTTGCCAACCTGTCTCGTGTCTGTTTGCTTTAGGTCTTCCAGCAGTTTATTGAGTAATTCCTTTACCAAGCTCTCTTCAATTTTTGAGTGAGCCATCGCTTTCCTGCAGGGTACCCCTGACTATTGCAAGGAAACACTCCTCCTCAAAGTATTTATAGTTGATTTGTGGAAGCTGACCTAATGTGCAGGCAAGATAATTTAACATGGAGGAGGTAAATGGTATGAGGCTGACAGTGATAAGACCTGGGATTATTGTGGGAGGTGCTCAGGAGGAACCGTGAAGGAACTGTAGTTAGAGCTGTGTTTTGAAACAATAGAGAGGATTTTGTAAATAAGAATTAGATGGAAGAGAAGAAAGATGAAACCCAAGAATATTTTTCCATATCCCTGGTGACAACTCATTTCATTGCTGAATTATTTTCTCTCCAGGAAAACTTCTTTCATATACCAAATTGTGATGGTTAGTTTTGTAGGTCAACTTGACTGGGTGGCCTAGGGATGCCCAGATAGCAGGTAGAATATTATATCCAGGTGTGTCTGTAAGGGTGTTTCCAGAAGAGAGTATCGTTTGATTGGTAGATTGAGGAATGAAGATGGCCCTCACCCATGTGGGTGGGCATCATCTTATCTGTTGAGGGCCTGAATATAATAGAAAGGCAGAGGATGGGTGAATTTGCTCTCTGCATGAGCTGGCACATCTAT